GTACTTTTAGTTCATTATAAACAATTTATAAGCAAAATATTTTTCTCCATCACCATTAATTTTTGTGTTATGATCAGCTTTATTACCGAAAATCAGTAATTTTAACATTTTGGGGATTTTTACTTTCTAATTGGAAAATGATAATAACTAAGTTGAATTTGGTAATGGATTATGTACTTTTGCTTCATTATAAACAATTAATATGCAAAATATTTTTCTCCATCACCTTTAATTTTTGAGTTATTATCAACTTTATTACCTATTAAAAATCATTAATTTTAACATTTTGAGGATTTTTACTTTCTAATAGGAAAACAATAATGACTAAGTTGAATTTGGTAATGAATTATGTACTTTTAGTTCATTATAAACAATTTACAGTGAAATTCCCCTAACTCGAATCACTAAGGGAGCGGAAGAAAACTTGGAATTATGGAAAATTCGAGTTAAAGAAAACACATTTAAACACATTTGAAGCCTAGTCAAACGCTTGAGCTTGCGAAAATTATTCGACTTAGAGGATAATTCGAGATATAGAAGTTCGAGTTAGGGGAATTTCACTGTATATGCAAAATATTTTTCTTCATCACCATTAATGTTTGAGTTATGATCAACTTTCTTATCAAAAATCATCAATTTTAACATTTTGGGGTTTTTACTTTCTAATAAGAATACGATAATAACTAAGTTGAATCTGGTAATGGATTATGTAGTTTTGGTTCATTATAAACAATTTATATGCAAAATACTTTTCTCCATCATCTTTAATTTTTGAGTTATGGTCAACTTTATTGTTGGAAATCATTAACTTTAACATTTTGACGATTTTTACTTTGTACATAATTGGAATACGATAATAGCTAACTTGAATCTGGTAATGGATTATGTATTTTTGGATCATTATAAACAATTAATATGTAATATATACTTTTCCATCACCTTTAATTTTTGAGTTATGATCAACTTTATTATCGAAAATCAGTAATTTTAACATTTTGGGGATTTTTACTTTCTAATTAGAAAATGATAATAATTAAGTTGAATTTGGTAATGGATTTTGTATTTTTGGTTCATTATAAACAATTAATATGTTTTTCTCCATCACCTTTAATTCTTGAGTTATGATCAACTTTTTTACCTATTAAAAATCATTTATTTTAACATTTTGGGGATTTTTACTTTCTAATACAAATACGATAATAACTAAGTTGAATTTGGTTATGGATTATGTACTTTTGGTTCATTATAAATAATTTATGTGCAAAATATTTTTGTTCACCATTCATTTTTGAGTTATGATCAACTTTATTATCGAAAATCACTAATTTCAACATTTTGGGGATTTTTACTTTCTAATTGGAAAATGATAATAACTAAGTTGAATCTGGTAATGGATTATGTACTTTTGGTTCATTACAAACATTTTATATGTGAAATGTTTTGCTCCATCACCTTTAATTTTTGAGTTATGATTAACTTTATTATCCTAAAATCAGTAATTTTAACATTTTGGGGATTTTTACTTTCTAATTGGAAAATGATAATAACTAAGTTGAATTTGGTAATGGATTTTGTATTTTTGGTTCATTACAAACAAGTAATATGCAAAATATTTTTCTCCATCACCTTTAATTTTTGAGTTATGGTAAACTTTGTTGTCGAAAATCATTAATTTTAACATTTTGGTGATTTTTACTTTCTTAATTGGAATACGATAGTAACTAAGTTGAATATGGTAATGGATTATGTACTTTTGGTTCATTATTAACATTTTTTATGCAAAATATTTTTCTCCATCGCCATTAATTTTTGAGTTATGATCAACTTTATTATCGAAAATCAGTAATTTTAACATTTTGGGGATTTTTACTTTCTAATTGGAAAATGATAATAACTAAGTTGAATTTGGTAATGGATTTTGTATTTTTGGTTCATTATTAACATTTTCTATGCAAAATATTTTTCTCCATCACCATTAATTTTTGAGTTATGATAACTTATGATCAACTTTATTATCGAAAATCATTAATTTTAACATTTTGGGGATTTTTACTTACTAATTAGAATACGATAATAACTAAGTTGAATTTGGTTATGGATTATGTACTTTTGGTTCATTATAAACAATTTATATGCAAAATATTTTTCTCCATCACCTTTAATTTTTGAGTTATGATCAACTTTATTACCTATTAAAAATCATTAATTTTAACATTTTGAGGATTTTTACTTTGTATATAATTGGAATACGATAATAACTAAGTTGAATTTGGTTATGGATTATGTATTTTTGGTTCATTATAAACAATTAATATGCAAAATACTTTTCTCCATCACCTTTAATTTTTGAGTTATGATCAACTTTATAACCGTAAATCATTAATTTTAACATTTTCGTGATTTTTATTTTCTAATTGGAATACGATAATAACTAAGTTGAATCTGGTTATGGATTATGAATTTTTGGTTCACTATAAACAATTAATATGTAAAATATTTTTCTCCATCACCATTAATTTTTGAGTTATGATCAACTTTCTTATCGAAAATCATTAATTTTAACATTTTGCTGATTTTTACATTCTAATTGGAATACAATAATAAAGATGCTCGGCTAAATCCAAATGTTTCTAGTTCTAGATGTAGTGTTAGTTCTAGTTTTACACTTGAACTGTCGCTAGTACTAACACTAGATCTAGAACTAAAATCATTCGGGTTTAGCCGTCTTTAGAGACGTGCGGCTAAACCCAAATGATTCTAGTTCTAGGTATAATGTCAGCTCTATATAGTAACAGTGCTAGTGTAAAACTAGAACTAACAATAGATCTAGAACTAGAATCATTCGGGTTAAGCCGTCTTAAGAGATGTACTGTTAAACCCGAAATTTTCTAGTTCCACATTCATTTTTTATTAAAAAATATAATATTTTAGCTTCTCATGTTTTGCAACCATTACCACCTAAAAAAGAAAATAACGTGATGATGGATTGAGCTGTCATATTATTTTCGATTCATAAAAGGTTTCACGTTGAACATGTCGACGTTAAAAACTTGCCCGGAAGGATTTCATCCGGAATTTTCAATCATCGAACACATGGGATCGGTGTTAAAACCCTTCCTTTATACGATTTATTTGTCCCATAACGATCAATTTCAACCACCCCAAAAACGGGGAAGTTTCAATTTCAAATAAGATACAAATAACGAATTTAAATAGTAAGCAAAAAAGTAAATGTTTTTTTATGCCTTTTTATCGTTAATGAGAATAATTTTTACGAGTGCTACAAAGTCCCAACAAATTAAATTAGTTTGAGATTTCAATCAACGTGCGAGTTTCATGCAAACTTTTTGACCCATTTTACATAGTGCTGTTTAGCTTTAACTTTAAACGGTAAAGTTGAATGTAATGGGTGATCACACACGTTATTAATTTTAACAAGGTAACATAACGAACTCTCATTAAACTTAATAATTTTTGTTTAAAGAAAATGATATTTAGATATTTTCACTTTAATTTACTTCTCACTTTATCCTATTTTGTGTGATACAAATCGAAGTGCGAGGAGGGGTTTTCGTAAATATTATTTGTTATTGTTTGGAAGGTGTATCTCGTACAACGTTCGTGTTGTTTATCAATAACGTATAAAGTGTGACACATAGAAATATACAAAATTAAATTTATTTTATATGATTTTGTATGATTTTATATGATTTTGGTTTTTTTATACAATCACATCTTGGAGTGCATATGCTAACTGTATATGGTATTTTATCATCAATATCGTCCTTCTGTCATCGGTATTAAATCTTCTAGTGGTAGTATAGTCTTCTATTGGCATTATTTAACTTCTGCCAGCAGTGTTTAGTCTTCGACTAGCAGTATCTAGTCTTCCATTAGCATTATCTAGCTTCTGCCAGCAGTATTTAGTCTTCGACTAGCAGTATCTCGTCTTCCATTAGCACAATCTGGCTTCTGCCAGCAGTATTTAATCTTCTGCTAGAAGTATCCAATTTTCTATTAGCATTATCTAGCTTCTGTCAGCAATACTTTGTGTTCTGCTAGCAGTATTTAGTAATTTAAAAAAAGGAATTGTTATTAAGAAAATATTTCATTTTAACTACCTCATTTTCAATAATAAATTTGTTCTCACATACTCAGGTGGTTTTAATCAACTAAAATGGACTAAAACGTACCATATACTAATGAAGCAGTATGTTTCTCTGAAAATGATAATAACGGTGGTTGCAAATAATTATTATTAATAGCAAATAAAATGGATTAATATATTTATGTAATTATAATAGGTATCTACTAATTGTAAGTATCTCGTTTTAACAAATTTAACGAAAGCCTGTATAATTTTAGCTCGGCTTTCAAAACCGTTATTTTAAACTTGTTTAATTTAATCCGAACTCTCTCCGCTTCGGCTTTTCCCAGTTCAATTATATTAACGATCTCGTATTACCATAACTTCGAGTTGTTTCCTTTTTCCTCTCTTTTATCAAAAGATGTAACATTCCTAAAACCTCTTTAGATTAAGTAAAACATCTTTATTAATTATATTTCATTTTTTTTCTTTTAATACTATTTAAGATGAAACTCCCTTTAAGAAACATTTTCAAGTTCGTTCAACAACAATGCTTTGGAGGTTTATTTCAAGTATTACTTCACAAATTGTTACGGGCCGTTTGATTTGAACTTTAGCTGCAGTTACCACACGAGCTAAGCCGTTGATGCAACCGCAATTTAACCACGTTTCCATTCCCTTAATACTAGCGTTTCCACCGTTTTGCTCACAAAATCCTTTAATTTCTTTTTCCTCTTTGAAACTCCATTTCTTGATTCTTTTTATTCTCCTCTATATTTTCGATGGTTAACGTTTTAGGTCTCAATTTAAAATAATTTGTAGTCCAAGATATATTAACTAATAGTAATTAATAACATTTTCACCATCATTAATTTTCGTCGAGTCAAACTTTTTTGGTGTTTTATTCTTACAGATCGATGTGACAAGATGAATTGTTGGCTGATTTCGAGCTCATTTTTCATTCGATAGCATCTTTAAAGTCGTCTTGAAGCGGTTAACGTAACTATGCTGCTTTTAGTATCCTTCTTATTCGTCTCAGCTTATTCAATCCCAGGTAAGTTTTCAATTTTTAAAAACTAATTTTCTCTGCGTATAAAAAAGACAAGTAAATTATGTTGTAACGCCAACAAATTCTCTATGTCAAAACATGATGTTCTTATTTAGATGCACATCCACACGCGATATAATAGAGTTATATTTCGCTTACGAAACCTGCTTTAAAATTCCATCTACGTACAAAGGACATTAAATATGTTAACGAGAAATACTGAGTTTCTAAACGTTTCTATCTACTCGAATTGAAAGTGAATAGAGCGGTTTGACACGTCTACATTTATCTTTCTTCGGGGTTTCTTAAAATTATTTCAACACTTTTAAGGCGGTTTTATGATATAAAAAAGATTAACTCTTTCTTTTTATCTTTTGCTTTTTAGTTATTAAAATGACACATTCTCTAAAAGTTGGCAGTGCGATTCTGCACTTTTAAATACTCACAGTTCAGACTCATATTAACTAAATTTAAGTTACAATATTATAATGTTTTGTGTCTTGGTGATCTAAATATTAATTTGTTGGAAACTAGCAATAATGACACTTACTTTATTTGATTCTTTACAAATGACTCAATTAATTGCTGAGCCGACTCGTGTCACTGAGTCTTCAGCGACGTTATTGGATGTTGTAGTTGTATCTGATGTTTCAGATGTTGCTGGAAGTGGTGTGTTGTGCTCGGAAATTTCTGATCATGATCTTATTTTTTGTAAATGTAGGTTTTCTAACTTCTGTCGTAAACCCTTTTACTATTCCTTTAGAGATTTCTCTAATTTTGAATATCGTCAGTTTGCTAGTCACTTGTCTGCAATTCCGTTTGACATTATTTATTCTTTAGACGTAGATGATAAGGTTGAATTTTTCAATGATGCGCTTTTGCAGTTGTTCAATGTGTTTGCGCCAATCAAAACCGTTAAAATTACCAAACCAAAACACCTTGGCTTACTGACAATGTCAAACTTTTGCAAAGGCTTAGGGATAGAGCTAAATTAAACTACAGAAGATCTAAAACGGACTGTCATTGGAAGTACTATAAAGAGCGGTGCGTAATGAAAAGAATGCGTACTTTGAGCAGTTGAGCCGAAATTCTGGTTCAAGACTCAATGTTGTTCCCAATAAGATCATGGGGGTTCTCGCTCATCTAGCAGACGCTGATTTAACAAATCAGGCCTTTGTGAATGTTGTTCCTCAGCCTACTTATGATCCCTCAGATATGATAGATTTCTATCAAAATTCCACTAATAACCTGAATCCTTTCTTTCGATTAACTGGTGTGGATGAGGATACGATCATGCGATTATTAAGGGAAATTAAGAGTAAGTCTTCTGGCGTCAGTACAAATATATTAAATTTGGTTGTTCCTCAGCTTCTACGCCACATTACACATAGTGCATCCGAGCAACTACTTTCCTAATGTTTGGAAATCGGCGCTAGTGCTCCCCTTACCCAAAATAAATTGGCCAACTGAGTACAAAGATTTGCGTCCCATCAGTATATTGCCGACCATCAGCAAGGTGTTGGAGAAAATCGTTAATTTTCAGCTAAGGCAGTACCTTAATGTAAATAACATTCTTCCTGATTGTCAATCTGGGTTTGTGTCAGGCCGTAGCTGCTCTACTGCTTTGTTGAAGATAACTGATGATATAATCTGTGCTAAAGATATCAATAAATGTACTGCACTTGTACTTTTTGATTTTAGTAAAGCTTTTGATACGGTCCATCACGGTATTTTATTATCTATCTTACACCATATTGACTGTGATGTTTCGTTTGTTAGAATCTCACATAAATTATTGGTTTTGATCTGGCTTAACATGAAAAATCGTTGTATTCTGAGCTCCCTGATTCTCTTCCATCGGTTATTGCGGACAGGAGAACCGTGTTATCTGTTCAAGAAAGTGAGGTTTAGGGGTGATATTCACTCTATTAATATTAGAAATAGAAACTTGATAGCTCCTCCAGCCCATACGACAGCTTTGTTTGAGAGATCTTTTAGCTATAACATTTACTTTAAATATAATAACTTGCCGGTAGAAATTAAAACTAAGGGTGTAGTGGCATTCAGACGTGCTGTTTTCAATGAGTCCTTTTTGAATTGAATTGTTATGACGTTATGGAATTGATACAGAATTTTTTCTTTTTCTTGCGGAATTAATTAGGCTTAAGTAGGTTTGTAGTAATAGTTTTAAGCCATTATTTTTACTGTTACTTTTAGTTATTGTTCATTTTCTTTTTATTTTCTTAATTTTTTTTAAATCTTCTTATTTGCAAGGTTCACTGTAAGAACAGGGAGTGTCATTGGCACTCATCTGAACTGCACCTTGAGGTTCTCCAATAATTAAGTATTTAGTTATTTGATAGGTTGTATTATAATAACATATGGATTACTTGTATTATTTCATTGGAGAATAAAGGCGATTATTATTATTATTATACAGTATATCCCCGAATCGAGTTACAAAGAGGAAAAAAAAATTTATTACTCATTTTTCAAACTTATCTCAGCATAAATAATGCGTCGGATATATTCAAACAACTAAATCGCACCAACTTTATATTCTAACTATAGAAGTTAACTAATTATTCCCATTTTTGTGCAAAAAAAATATACTTTTCCTAAATTAAAAATTTTTCAAGTTCAATTTACAATATGTAACCATAGAAACCAATAAAATAAAATAAAAGTTATGTTAGTGAAAAATATACGGACAAATCCTTGGGACAAATCAAATTAAAATATGGCTAATTGAATAAAATATCATCTTGTTATGGTTCACTGTAAACAATTTGTTTTAATCGCACCAAAAAATAAAAGTCCATAATTGTAAGATCAGGACTACGTGCTGTCCATCAAATAGGACCATTTCGTTCAATCCATTTTTGAGGGAATTGTAAATTTAACCATTTGGCACAATGTATGAATGGTAAGCTGGGCAACTGACTTGCTGAAAGTACATTGACCGTATAAAATTTAAAGGTAATTGGATTTCCATCGCTCCTATAACGACAATGCTGGGAAGAAACAATGTCATTTGTTGAAAAGCTATCTAAAAATCAGCGTCTTCCTTATTTAGTCTCTTTATGGATAGTACAGAACCCGTTTCCAATTTTTTTTTCATCAGTTTGCGAGCCCCACATGAGATATTCATGTGTCCAAATATTTTTGCTGGAATTTTTGTATAATTACACGAAAACATGATTCACGGTTAGTATCGCATAAAAAAACTTAATCTCACCAACATAAGTTGTAACTTTTATGGTTTCTATGGTTACATATCATAAATTGAACTTGAAAAATTTTCAATTTAGAAAAAAGTCCAATTTTTACATAAAAATTGGAATAATTAGTTAACTTTTATAGTTAGAGTATAAAATTCATGCGATTTAGTAGTTTGAACATATCCGACGCATTATTTATGCTGAGATAAGTTTGAAAAATCAGTAATAAAAATTTTTTTCCTCTTTGTAACCCGATCCGGGGACATACTGTATAAAACCAAACATTTCGCATCTGACGATCCTCCACCCTTTGGGTTCATGTTTGTTAAGTCAAAGCTCCACCAGGTTATACTTCTGCCAGTGACCTTATGAGACCTTAACTTGCCAGCACATATGTTCTGTATCGCTTGCTGAAATAACGAAATTTTTTCTTCCCTCTCACCATATAGTGATCGTTGATGCAAGATACATTTGATAGGTTGCATTCACCTTATTCTAGACCTGTAAGAGTCTCTTTATCAACTAGCCGATTTTTGTTCATCTATCAATCCTACACAATTCTCTTCTGCAACCACATACTTCATCTGCAATTCCTCAACTTCTCTTCATTATCTATAAATATAAAAAAAGTTCAATGATTGCGTTAAAATATTCCAAATATTTTGCATTTGATGATTCTCAGCTCTTTGCGTTTATCTTTGTTAAGTCATCGCTCCACCAGGTTATACTTCTGCCAGTGACCTTATTAGATCTTAACTTGCCAGAACATATATTCTGTATCGATTGCTGAAATAACGAAATTTTTTCTTCTTTCTCACCATGTAGTGATCGTTGATGCAAGATACAGTTAATAGGTCACCTTATTCTAGAACTGTAAGAGTCCCTTTATCAACTAGCCGATTTTTGTTCATCCATCAATCTTACACAATCCTCTTCTGCAATCCCATACGTCACCTGTAATTCCTCAACTTCTCTTCATTATCTTATAAATTTAAAAAGATAATTCAATGATTGTGTTAAAAAATCGATTCTTGACTCTATTTACTGGTATTCCAGACATACTTGGTGATTAAAATATTACAATTTCAGGCACTTTCTTGTAGCTTAAAGTTTTGCAATTAACTCACTTGCAATTTGGACTTTGGCTCATGTAATCCCAAACATTTCGAATCTGATAATTCTCAGCTCTTTGGGTTTATCTTTGTTAAGTCATCGTTCCACCAGGTTATACTTCTGCCAGTGGCCTTATGAGACCTTGACTTGCCAGCACTTATATTCCGTATCTCTTGCTGAAATAACGAAATTTTTTCTTCTCTCTCACTATATAGTGATCGTTGATGTAACATATATTTGATAGGTTGCCATTCACTTTATTTTAGACCTTGTGCACCTGCAATTCCTCAACTTCTCTTCATTATCTTATAAATTAAAAAAAAAAGTTGAATGATTGTGTTAAAAAATCGATATTTTAATTTACTTAAAGCAATTATCGCGTTGTCCTTTAACGATTTTCTACTTAATGATTTTAATTTAGTTGGACAACCATCTCAAATATCGAGTTCCATGCCGTTTTACGAACCAGTTCCCGATTTTAACGAACCAATAAGGAATGTTACGGCAGCGGTTGGAAGGGAAGCGGTTTTAAGTTGTACTGTTAACGATTTGGGGCAGTATAAGGTAAACATTTCTAGTCTCAGTTTACTTTTTACAATCTACATTTTTTTTCTATTAATCCATCCCAAGATGATATTTTTGCGAATTTTTCTTTTTTAGATTTATACGCTTTTAATTTTTAGGTTGGTTGGATGAAAGCGGACGACCAAACCGTACTCAGCCTGGATACGAGAGTAATTACTCATAATCCGAGGATAAACGTAGCGCACGACGAGAAACTGAGGACCTGGCAGTTGAGGATAAGGCAACTAAAAGAGTCTGATCGTGGATGCTACGTTTGCCAGATTAATACGAATTCTATGAAAAAAATTTATGGGTGTATTGACGTTCAAGGTTTTATGTTTATTAAAACGAAGATTTTTTAATTTTATTTTGAGTTTCGTTGCAGTTTCCCCGGATATTGATGATGAAGGAACGAGTGGGGATGTAACAGTTACTGAAAAAGATAATGTTACACTTACATGTAGGGCTAGGGGTCAACCAGAACCAAGAGTTTTATGGAGGAGGGAAGATAGTAAACATATTTTGCTAAAAGAAACACCACTAGACGTAGAAAAAGGTTAGTTTTGTGGTTTTAATAAAATTCGGCTATGCAATTCTCGCGAGTTTATTGCACCACCATTTATTTCAGTTGACACCTTTAGCGGTAGCACCTTGAATCTATTTCACTTAGACAGGCAGCAAATGGGCGTTTACCTTTGTATTGCCAGTAACGATGTACCACCAGCAGTTAGTAAACGCATTACCCTCAATATTAACTGTAAGTATTAATTTAGTTCAACCTCAATTTGTTTTAACCGTAATTAAATTAAATACTTTAAGCTTATAATAAGCTGTTTTTCGTTAGCAATGAATAAATTTGTAACTCGCAAAAAAAATAAATAAAAATAACACCTCATTGGCAATCCATCTTCCACCTACCTCGTAAGTTCCCGAGGTGAAATTAAAAAAGTTTTGTCCTGAAAAAGTTTTTGCTCCGAGAAAGGAGAAAGAAGGTTCCAACGCAGGCTCCGTTTAGATATTAAGGTAATTTATATGCACTTCTTTTTTACGATGTGTACAACTAACAAAACAATATAGAAAGTAAAACGTAAACGAAAAATCCATCTGAATCGAATAAAAAAAAGTGACGTTCAGTTTGTTCGTTTATTGGAATTGGAAGTACACTGATTGAGTTTCTGTCCCTCAGAACTCTTCAGTTACAGCTCCCCTCAAGTTTGGAATTTCAAATTACGCCCGTAGTCTCGACGTCGACAACTTTGATTTTAAAGGAACTCAATAAACTCAATCGTACACCGGAAAAATTAAATTTATTTTAAAAAAACACGAAATTAGTAATCATTTTCTTACAGTTTTCTTTTACAGTTCCCCAGTTGGTACACAGGATATACAGTGAATTTCATTTAAAATGTAATACACAAAAATATATTTCCTTACAAACCAGGGACATAAGGAACATTTTTTGCTACGAAACCGAAAAAATCGTAAAAATGGCGTTAACTTAGTTCTTAATCTTGTAAGTTCTATGCTATCGTATTTACAGAAAATTTGATGATGGTTTTGAATTTGTTAAAGTATTTTTCACAAAAAAATACTCTGATAAAAGTTCTAAAACCAATCGTTTTTGAGATATCAAAGATTTTCTGCACAACAAAGAGATAAATCCTAGAAATGAGGAAATCTTGACTCATCACCATGTAACTTCTGTACCAATGTACTTATTCGAAATTTGACGATATTTCTAAATTCCTTCAAGCTTTCTTCGCAAAAACGTACTTTTTGATATAAGTTCTAAAATGAACCGTTCGGGAAATAGGAACATTTTTTGCTACAAGAACAAAAAAATTGTAAAAATGGCGTTAACTTAATTCTTTATCTTATAACTTGTAAGCTAACGTATTTACAGAAAATTTAATGGTGATTTTGAATTTGTTGAAATATTTTTCACAAAAATACTCTTTGATAATAGTTCTAAAACCAATCGTTCTTGAGATATCAAAGATTTTCTGCACAACAAAGAGATAAATCCTAGAAATGAGGAAATCTTGCCTCATCACCATGTAACTTCTGTACCAGTGTACTTATTCGAAATTTGATGATACTTCTAAATTCCTTCAAGTTTTCTTTGCAAAAACGTAGTTTCTGATATAAGTTCTAAAATGAACCGTTCCGGACATAAGGAACATTTTCTGCTACAAAAACGAAAATATCGTAAAAATGGCGTTAACTTAGTTCTTTATCTTGTAACTTCTATGCTAACGTATTTACAGAAAATTTAATGATGATTTTGAATTTGTTGAAGTATTTTTCACAAAAAGATGCTCCGATAAAAGTTCTAAAACCAATCGTTCTTGAGATATCAAAGATTTTCTACAGAACAAAGAGATAAATCCTAGAAACGAGGAAATTTTGACTCATTACCATGTAATTTCTGTACCAGTGTACTTATTCGAAATTTGATGATACTTCTAAATTCCTTCAAGCTTTCTTTACAAAAACGTACTTTCTGATATAAGTTCTAAAATGAACCGTTAGGAAGATAGGAACATTTTTTGCTACAAAAACAAAAAAATTGTAAAAATGGCGTTATCTTAATTCTTTATCTTATAACTTCTAAGCTAACGTATTTACAGAAAATTTAATGGTGATTTTGAATTTGTTGAAATATTTTTCACAAAAATACTTTTTGATAATAGTTCTAAAACCAATCGTTCTTGAGATATCAAATATTTTCTGCACAACAAAGAGATAAATCCTAGAAATGAGGAAATCTTAACTCATCACCATGTAACTTCTGTACCAGTGTACTTATTCGAAATTTGATGATACTTCTACATTCCTTCAAGCTTTCTTTGCAAAAACGTACTGTTGATATAAGTTCTAATACGAACCGTTTAGAAGATAAGGAACATTTTCTGCTACAAAAACGAAAAATCGTAAAAATGGTGTTAACTTAGTTCTTTATCTTGTAACATCTATGCTAATGTATTTACAAAAAATTTAATGGTGATTTTGGATTTGTTGAAGTATTTTTCACAAAAAGGTACTCTGATAAAAGTTCTAAAACCAATCGTTCTTGAGATATCAAAGAGTTTCTGCAGAACAAAGAGAAAAATCCTAGAAATGAGGAAATCTTGACTCATCACGATGTAACTTTTGTATCAGTGTACTTATTCGAAATTTGACGATACTTCTAAATTCCTTCAAGCTTTCTTTGCAAAAACGGACTTTTTGATATAAGTTCTAAAATAAACCGTTCCGGACATAAGGAACATTTTCTGCTACAAAAACGAAAAAATCGTAAAAATGGCGTTACCTTAGTTCTTTATCTTGTAACTTCTACGTTAACTTATTTACAGAAAATTTAATGATGATTTTGAATTTATTGAAGTATTTTTTACAAAAAAATGCTCTGATAAAAGTCTTAAAACCAATCGTTCTTGAGATATCAAAGATTTTCTGCAGAACAAAGAGGTAAATCCTAGAAATGAGGAAATCTTGACTCATCAAAATGTAACTTCTGTACCAGTGTACTTATTCGAAAGTTGATGATACTTTCAAATTCCTTGAAGCTTTCTTTGCAAAAACGTACTTTTTGATATAAGTTCTAAAATGAACCGTTCGGAAGATAAGGAACATTTTTTGCTATAAACCTAGTTCTTTACCTTGTAACTTCCGCGGTAACGTTTTTACAGAAAATTTAATGATGATTTTGAATTTTTTTAAGTAGTTTTCACAAAAAGATACTCTGTGATAATAGTTCTAAAACCAATCATGCTTGAGACATCAAAGATTTTCTGCAGAACAAAGAGATAAGTCCTAGAAATGAGGACCTAGAATTAGAAACATTCCGGTTTTGCCGTCTTGAGAGACGTGCGGCTAAACCCGAATGTTTCTAGTTCTAGGTCTAGTGTTAGTTCTAGTTTTAATTGTTATTTAGCGTTTTATGTGGGACATTGGAAGTGCATAGTAGTTTCGTAACTATGGTTACTGCATTCATATATTGCGAGTTATATGAAATTCCCTGTATACATATGTATAAATAAATTAGGGTATTTTCAACATGGACAAACTTTAAGAAACCGTATCTAGTTTATTTATTGGAATTAAAAAATGATTTTTATACCAAATTAAAGCTTGAAGTCTCTTCTTTAAAATGATATATAACAGATAATGTCTTTTCTTACAAAATAATCGAGAAAAAAACGAATACATTTTATTTATAATTAAGTTAGGATATTTATCACCAATGATACATTTTAATAAATCGTGTCTAATTTATTTATTGGAACTAAGAAATGATTTTCATACCAACTTAAAGTTTATAGTCTCTTCTTTTTTTTTATTTATTTATGGCTTAGCGGGATCCTAGCCCATCAGCCTCTATATCACGGTTATGTAATATTTACCAATACATCAGATCGCAATATTAGACCTCACCAAAAATTCATATACAATGTAAAGGACATTGAACAGGTTACAACTCAATACATGAACGATGTTAATAGGCAAAACAAAACCACAGGCAAGCAACGCATTAATAAATCTTGGGCGGTATTTCTCATGAAATTTGCAACTCAACAATATGTGATCCAGATCCGCAAATTCTGCTCCACATTCACAGGTCGGAGATGACAAAATCTTAATCTTATACAAGTNAAAATAATTGAGATAAAAATTACTATATATTATGTGTAAATCGGTTAATATTTGAAGCAACGACAAATTTAAAAAAATCGTATCTATTTTATTTTTTGGAATTAAGAAATGATTTTTATACCAAATTAAAGTTTGAAGTCTTCTTTAAAATGATATATAATAAATTAGGTGTTCAATTACAAAATAATTGAGATAAAAATTATTATATATTATGTGTAAATCGGTTAATATTTGAAGCAACGACAAATTTTAAAAAATCGCATTTATTTTATTTTTTGAAATTAAGAAATGATTTTTATACCAAACTAAAGTTTGAAGTCTCTTCTTTAAAATGATATATAATAGATTAGGTGTTCAATTATAAAATAATTGAGATAAAAATTACTATATATTATGTGTAAATCGGTTAATATTTGAAGCAACGACAAATTTAAAAAAATCATATCTATTTTATTTTTTGGAATTAAGAAATGATTTTTATACCAAATTAAAGTTTGAAGTCTCTTCTTTAAAATGATATATAATAGATTAGGTGTTCAATTACAAAATAATNTTCAACATGGACAAACTTTAAGAAACCGTATCTAGTTTATTTATTGGAATTAAAAAATGATTTTTATACCAAATTAAAGCTTGAAGTCTCTTCTTTAAAATGATATATAACAGATAATGTCTTTTGTTACAAAATAATCGAGAAAAAAACGAATACATTTTATTTATAATTAAGTTAGGATATTTATCACCAATGATACATTTTAATAAATCGTGTCTAATTTATTTATTGGAACTAAGAAATGATTTTCATACCAACTTAAAGTTTATAGTCTCTTCTTTTTTTTTATTTATTTATGGCTTAGCGGGATCCTAGCCCATCAGCCTCTATATCACGGTTATGTAATATTTACCAATACATCAGATCGCAATATTAGACCTCACCAAAAATTCATATACAATGTAAAGGACATTGAACAGGTTACAACTCAATACATGAACGATGTTAATAGGCAAAACAAAACCACAGGCAAGCAACGCATTAATAAATGTTGGGCGGTATTTCTCATGAAATTTGCAACTCAACAATATGTGATCCAGATCCGCAAATTCTGCTCCACATTCACAGGTCGGAGATGACAAAATCTTATACAAGTGAGATGGAAAACGACCGTGACCAAATTTCAGTCGTGCGATAGTAGCAGAAAACCTACGAGACACCTCAACCCCCATGTACCACTGCCGAAACAAGACAGTAGGATGTATAAGGGCATATTGTGTTATTCTTTTATTGTAGTATGCTTTCCAGTGTGAAATCCATCCCTCTCTCTCTTCTTTATTTCTGTAGAGGGAAAGAACTTCTCCAGGGTGGAGTCCCACATTAATGCGCTTACCATCCTGTATCACCTCCTTAGCTAACACGTCAACTAGTTCGTTGTGAGTTATACCGCTATGTGCTTTCACCCATATAAATGTGCATGAAATTCCTTGTTTCGACAATGCCACAAGAGTGGATACAATGTCCAATACGCAAGGGTGGAGAGTAGTATAATGTTTCTTGTGTCTCAAAGCCATCAACACACTTTGAGAATCAGACAATATTGACACGACAGAGCAACGGACTGACAAAACATACCGCAGGGCCTCAAGGATTGCATATGCTTCCGCAGAAAAAATGCTACTATGAGGGTCCAACTTTAATTTTATGTGATACCCACTGCTGGGTACTAAGAAGGCACAACCGCAACCGTCAGATGTCTTAGACTCATCTGTGTAAATAATCAAGCTATCTTTAATCTCATTCATTAACTGATTGAATATTCCTTTTGTGTAATGTGTTATCACCAAAATGAGGGAATATAACATGTATCGGTTGAATATAATCGAAATATCGAATGGCAGGGAATATAGATCGATGCAACAACAAGGGAAGGTAAAGATGTCCTTCTCCAAAAACGAGCGGACACTGTTGATACTGTATAGTCTCTTCTTTAAAATGATAAATAACAGATTATGTATTCAATAACAAAATAATTGAGAAAAGTTCCTTTGAAGTTTAGAATTTCAAATTACAAAATTAAAACAAAATTACTATTTATTTCTTTTTTTGTTAAATTGTTGAAGTTTTCTTTTACAGTTCCTCCATTGGTACACGTTGTAAAACCCATTATAAGCGCCCCATTGGGCGGAAGTGCAAAATTAAAATGCGACGTTGAATCTTATCCGAAATCGGATAATTACTGGATGAAGGACCGCGAAGAAAATTTGTTAAACGATTCCAGGCACCATTTTCACGAGAAAAAGATTCGACTTCGAATCATCATGACTTTAACTATTTTTAATGTAACCGCAAATGATTTGGGAATTTATCGCTGCATAGCGAGAAATTCAGTTGGAAAACATGAAGGTTCAATTCGCTTATACGGTAAAATTTTGATAATAAAATAATTCAAGATTATTGAATTTTATTTTCTTTTTAGAAACCCCAACCACAACAACTGTAACAACCCCATCCACAACCACCATCATTTTATCAACACAACCATTAATTAGTTCAGAGATAAATTTTAAAACCATCTCTTTACATTTTTTAACCACCACATCCAAACGATTAATACCGGAAAAGCGATCAACGGAAATGGATCCGATTCACGAATGGTTTTTGCCGAGTGTTGGTCCAGCTTTATTGGAGTTAGAAACGCAATCGTGGGGGATGATATTACACCCTTCAACGATTTTATTAACATTTTCAATAATGTGCGCGTTATTACCTCATGGGTAGTGTTATTCGTTTAATCAAAATTAACGAGAAATACACACAGAAAATTAAATATTTACAAAAAAAATCGTGAGTGGTTTCAACAAAATAATTCTTCGATTATTAGCGAATCTCCGAAAAAGTTCACAAATCTCAAAAAAATAATTAAAGGAAAAATGATTAAAAAATAAAAACCGTAACCAGTTCATGTCTTTAGGTTAAATTAACACAGAAAAGTTAATAAATCGAAAAATCTGAATAAAAAGAATAAGAAAAATGGTATTTATGATGTTCAACTCACCCTTTCATCTATAAAGAACGATATCGAACCTAACGAATTTATATTTTAGATAATATACATACTTAGAGGTGTATAATAAAATGTATTTGGATGATTTATTACGAAATGTACATATCTATGATGGAGAGTTGTGAATAAAACTGTGTAAATTTATTTGTTGCTGTTTTATTACTTATTTCTTTATAATTTCTTGGCCGCACTTTTCTTTAACTAGATTAAAACGATTTACGTCCGTCCTCCAAAACATGATGATAAATTTAAAAAAATCGTATCTATTTTATTTTTTGGAATTAAGAAATGATTTTTATACCAAATTAAAGTTTGAAGTCTCTTCTTTAAAATGATATATAATAGATTAGGTGNATCCTAATTTATAAAACCCTCATTCGACCACTCATCACCTATGCATGTCTTGTCTGGGGAAGCTCGGCTAAATCAAATCTTAATAAGGTTCAGACAAAACAAAATATTACGCATAGCAGTAGACTCCGAGTGGTATATCTCTAATGATCAACTACACAACGAATTAAAAATTGACAGTGTCGTAGCCTTTATATCTACAATGACTTTTCGGTTTCACGAACGCGTACAATACACAGAAGTACTACAGCCTGAGGTCGTATACCTCAGCAAAAAGAACATCCACTGTCGTCTGAAAAGGAAACTACCACAAGACATCTACTTGAGTAAAAAATACGTTAAATGTTACCATTCAATTTAACTTAAGTTTATTATTTTATAAATAACAAGGTCCTTTTAGTTATGTAATGTGTAATTTATTTAGCGCGAAAACTTTCTAGTTCTAGGTCTAGTGTTAGTTCTAGTTTTGCACAAGCACTGTCACTAAAACTAACAAAAGACCTAGAAATAGAATCATTCGGGTTTAGTCGTCTTGAGAGACGTGCGGCTAAATCCGAATGTTTCTAGCTCTAGGTCTAGTGTTAGTTCTAGTTTTGATTGTTATTCAGCGTTAGATTATTGTATATTTTTATTGAATGAAAAGTAGAACTAACACTAGACCTAGAACAAGAAACATTCGGGTTTAGCCGCACGTCTCTCNAAAAAATCGTATCTATTTTATTTTTTGGAATTAAGAAATGATTTTTATACCAAATTAAAGTTTGAAGTCTCTTCTTTAAAATGATATATAATAGACTAGGTGTTCAATTACAAAATTATTGAGATAAAAATTACTATATGTTATGTGTACATCGGTTAATATTTGAAGCAACGACAAATTTTAAAAACTCGTATTTATTTTATTTTTTGGAATTAAGAAATGATTTTTATACCAAATTAAAGTTTGAAGTCTCTTCTTTAAAATGATATATAATAGCTTAGGTGTTCAATCACAAAATAATTGAAATTAAAAGTTACTATATGTTATGTGTATATCGGTTAATATTTGAGGCAACGACAAATTTTAAAAAATCGTACTTATTTTATTTTTTGGAATTAAGAAATGATTTTTATACCAAATTAAAGTTTGAAATCTCTCCTTTAAAATGATATATAATAGATTAGGTGTTTAATTATAAAATAATTGAGATAAAAATTACTATATATTATGTGTAAATCGGTTAATATTTGAAGCAACGACAAATTTTAAAAAATCGTATCTATTTTATTTTTTGGAATTAAGAAATGATTTTTATACCAAATTAATGTTTGAAGTCTCTTCTTCAAAATGATATATAATAGATTAAGTGTTCAATTACAAAATAATTGAGATTAAAACTAATATATATTATGTGTAAATTGGTTAATATTTGAAGCAACGACAAATTTTAAAAAATCGTATTTATTTTATTTTTGGGAATTAAGAAATGATTTTTATACCAAATTAANGTTCTAGTTTTGATTGTTATTCAGCGTTAGATTATTGTATATTTTTATTGAATGAAAAGTAGAACTAACACTAGACCTAGAACAAGAAACATTCGGGCTTAGCCGCCTTAAGAGACGTGCGACTAAACCCGAATGATTCTAGTTCTAGATCTAGTGTTAATTCTAGTTTTATACTAGCACTGTTACTATGTAGAACTGACACTATACCTAGAACTAGAATCATTTGGGTTTAGCCGAACGTCTCTAAAGACGGCTTGTGTTAGTTCTAGTGAGAGTGCTAGTGTAGAACTAGAACTAACACTAGACCTAGAACCAGAATCATTCGGGTTTAGCCGTCTTAAGAGACGTGCGGCTAAATCCGAATGTTTCTAGGTCTAGGTCTAGTGTTAGTTCTAGTTTTGATTGTTATTCAGCGTTAGATTATTGTATATTTTTATTGAATGAAAAGTAGAAGTAACACTAGACCTAGAACAAGAAACATTCTGGTTTAGCCGCACGTCTCTTAAGACGGCTAAACCCGAATGATTCTAGTTCTAGATCTAGTGTTAGTTCTAGTTTTACACTAGCACTGTTACTATGTAGAACTGACACTATACCTAGAACTAGAATCATTTGAGTTTAGCCGAACGTCTCTAAAGACGGTTTGTGTTAGTTCTAGTGAGAGTGCTAGTGTAGAACTAGAACTAACACTAGACCTAGAACTAGAATCATTCGGGTTTAGCTGTCTTGAGAGACGTGTGGCTAAATCCGAATGTTTCTAAGTCTAGGTCTAGTGTTAGTTCTAGTTTTGATTGTTATTCAGCGTTAGATTATTGTATATTTTTATTGAATGAAAAGTAGAACTAACACTAGACCTAGAACAAGAAACATTCGGGTTTAGNTATATAATAGATTAGATGTTCAATTATAAAATAATTGAAATAAAAATTACTATATATTATGTGTACATCGGTTAATATTTGAAGCAACGACAAATTCTAAAAAATCGTACTTATTTTATTTTTTGGAATTAAGAAATGATTTTTATACCAAATTAAAGTTTGAAGTCTCTTCTTTAAAATGATATATAATAAATTAGGTGTTCAATTGCAAAATAATTGAGATAAAAATTATTATATATTATGTGTAAATCGGTTAATATTTGAAGCAACGACAAATTTAAAAATTCGTATCTATTTTATTTTTTGGAATTAAGAAATGATTTTTATACCAAATTAAAGTTTGAAGTCTTCTTGAAAATGATATATAATAAATTAGGTGTTCAATTACAAAATAATTGAAATAAAAATTATTATATATTATGTGTAAATCGGTTAATATTTGAAGCAACGACAAATTTTAAAAAATCGTATTTATTTTATTTTTGGGAATTAAGAAATGATTTTTATACCAAATTAAAGTTTGAAGTCTCTTCTTTAAAATGATATATAATAGATTAAGTGTTCAATTACAAAATAATTGAGATTANTCTAGTTTTGATTGTTATTCAGCGTTAGATTATTGTATATTTTTATTGAATGAAAAGTAGAACTAACACTAGACCTAGAACAAGAAACATTCGGGTTTAGCCGCACGTCTCTTAAGACGGCTAAACCCGAATGATTCTAGTTCTAGATCTAGTGTTGGTTCTAGTTTTACACTAGCACTGTTACTATGTAGAACTGACACTATACCTAGAACTAGAATCATTTGGGTTTAGCCGAACGTCTCTAAAGACGGCTTGTATTAGTTCTAGTGACAGTGCTAGTGTAAAACTAGAATTAACACTAGACCTAGAATCATTCGGGTTTAGCCGTCTTGAGAGACGTGCGGCTAAATCCGAATGTTTCTAGTTCTAGGTCTAACGTTAGTTCTAGTGATAGTGATAGGTAGCTAGTTGGCATAAGATATCACTATGTTGCATATTTTTATCGCACAAAAACTAGAATACAAGACCTAGAACTAAAATAATTCGGGTTTAGCCGTCTTGAGAGACGTGCGGCTAAATCCGAATGTATCTAGATCTAGGTCTAGTGTTAGTTCTAGTTTTGCACTACCACTATCACTAAAACTAACGTAAGACTTAGAACTAGAATCATTCGGGTTTACCCATCTTGATAGACGTGCGGCTAAATTCGAATGTTTCTAGTTCTAAGTCTAGTGTTAGTTCTAGTTTTGCACTAGCACTATCATTACAACTAACACAAGACCTAAAACCAGAATCATTCGGATTTAGCCGTTTTGAGAGACGTGCGGCTAAATCTGAATATTTCTAGTTCAAGGTGTAATGTTAGTTCTAGTGATAGTGATAGGTAGCGATAGTTGGCATAAGATATCACTATGTTGCATATTATTATTGAACTAAAACTAGAACTAACACTAGACCTAGAACTAAAATCATTTGGGTATAGCCGTTTTGAGAGACTTGCGGCAAAATCCGAATATTTCTTGATCTAGGTCTAATGTTAGTTCTAATTTTAATTATTATTCAGGGTTAGGTTATATTTTTATTGAACGAAAAGTAGAACTAGAATTAGAAACATTCGGGTTTAGCCGTGCGTCTCTTAAGACGGCTGAAAACTCAGGGTTCCAAACAACTTTTTCCAAAGATATTTCCAAATAGAAGCGTTAATTCTCTTCTTTAAAATGATATATAACACGTTATTACAAGATTTTCAGTATAATTTAAAAATCCACCTTTTTAAAAAAATGTAAAACTGCTAACAAATTATACGAAAGAATATTAAAAACGCTACCCGAAATAGTAAATATGTAAATAGGTTAGGGTTATAAATTTTTTAATTTATATGTATGTACGTCATAATTCTGGGCAATTTATTTATCTCCCGGAGGTGTAACCTGGAGGCGGTCATGCCAAATTATCTTGGAAAGGGTGCGTTCCGCCCGGCGAAGCGCATGAAAATTATTAATGAAAGAGAGGCAGGGTGCCACGCCAAATTGGCTATATCTCGTAATTTTATTTTACGACGAATAATCTAAAAACGCCCGGAGAGTCTTTTTTGTTTATCTAATTTTGCACGACCACAAAAAAAGTGTATCTTAAAAAATTAATCTTTTTTGATTTTAAATTGGCTGCAATTCCAATTCTCATCAAGAATCTCAATCAACACTCGTATTCAGCTGACAGTTCCAATTTGCAATATTGAATGAGTGGGTGTTCAAACAAATTCCGATTTATGCAATTTCTTTCGGAATAACTTTTTAGTTAACAGTTAGTGGAATATTGTACGCAATTTGTAAGTGGAAAGTCTTGGCTTATTCGTATTCTATCATCGGGAGCAACATGGAAAACTTTTAAACTCTAT